TTTGTTTTTTTTTGGAATAACATGAAGTTCAGTAAACAATTACAGGATATAGGGTAAATTATTCATTACCAGTAAAATATTTTAAGATGTAAATATGATACATTTTAACATTATGCAATCACTACAGTCTCTGCATAGTGTATAGCTCTCATTTCATTACTCAGAAATATCTCTGGGATGTAAGCAGGGCAGGTCTATGAAGTCAGGACAGTGTAGATGTTGACAGGTCTCTGGATGTTAGAATTTCAGTTCTGTTTTCATTTGACTGGCTCTGAGGATGTCCCTGAACCAGTTTGGCTGCTGTTTCCGTTATTAGACATCTGCAATTATGAGTCAAACATGTGGTGGCAGAATGAAATAAGAATGAAATCTATAATTAAGCTGGGATCTCCAACATAATGAATTCCCATCCATCCACAGCAGTATTGACTGTTCTCTCTTGGTAGAGACTCATAACACAAAGATCCCATCAAATTGCCTTGAGCGCCATTTTTTTCTGTGTTGATGCATTTCCTATTGAAATTAGATGTTTAAGTGGAGTATTTTTAAATTAAGCTTATTTTACAATGTAGAAATACTGTAACATTCACAACTCCAAGCTTCCTCGTTAGTCCAGCCTGAATCTTAATTGAAACTAAACTGCGGAAACGGTTCTTCGGAAATTAGAATGGTTATACCTTCACCATCAGCCATGAACATAAGATATTTGCATATCAGCAATAATCAACAATTTGCATATCAGTATTTCAGGAAGTACGTATGTAAGGAAGGAAGTACGTGCATACGTACGTACATGGAGAAGGAAGTGTGTGCGAAAGGAAGGAAGTATGCATGTATGGTAGGAAAGATGTACGTTTGTGAGTTCACATGCAGGGATGTGCGTGTGTGCGTATGTATATATGCAGCGAAGGAAGTGCATGCATTCGTACGCAAGGAAGGAAGGAAGTACATGCGTACGTACGTAAGGAAGAAATACATGCGTAAGGAAGTACGTACGTGCGTATCATATGTACATAAGGAAGGAAAGAAGGACGTACACAAGGAAGTAAGTATGTGCGTATGTAAGGTAGGAAGTACGTGAGCACATGCATAATTACGTAAGGAAGTACCTGAGCCTGTATGTGTGTGAGGATGGAAGTACGTGTGCGTACGTAAAGCAGGAGGGAGGTATGTACGTGTGTACATACGTAAGGATGGAAGTACGTGCGCATGTACGTAATGAAGGAAGCATGTGAATGCGCATGCGATATTTAACGCGCATCTTATCAGTAAAGCCGGTTCTGTAATCAGCGGTAAATCTCCATCACCTGCGGGGTTTCACTTTGAGCAGCATTAACTACACAGAGCCGTTGTTCACTGACGAGCTGGGCAAAACCACGTTCATATTCGCGAAAAGAAGAAAGTACGTACAACGAGTTAAAAGTGAAAATTGGTCCCTATACTATAGTGTTAACCATGTACATAAGGTATGTAAAGTTTATGTAAGGTTTTTAAAATAGGTAGACGCATGTACTTCTGTCTAAAAATGAATTTCAGGCATTGTAGTGTAAGCCTTTAGATCTCAATATTTTTTAAGATAATAAGAAACGTTTTAGCCTAACATGACTTTTAACGGGTCGTGTATTGGAGCATTGTACCAAAGCGTCTTTGAAAATAGATAAAACGGTGCATATACGTTCAATTTGTCATATCTGACACACAATAATGAGCAAAAAGTCATTTTCTTTCTTTACAAGCTCTGTTTCTGAAGCGTTTGGTGTCGTCTCTCAGTTGTTGTATTAATGAGTACCTGACAGATGTGTTTTTAAGGGGGATGCCATCAGATGGTCAGCTTTTACCTCTCCTAGAGAGAGAATGACTGCTACAATCACAGGAAGCAATTACTCCCTGATGCTGTCTACTGTTGCCATGGCAATACATCACCTCTGTTGAACCCTTCTCACTACTGTCTTGACTACCTTTTCTCTCTGTGTGTCTCAGATGGGGGAGCTGTGGTGCTCTCGTGGTCTTAACTTATTCTGTTGGCGCTCGACCTCTATACTATAAATGCCGTCTGATTCAAATTCACTTAGTTTAGTGGCATTTGTGACAGAAATTCTTTAAGGAATTCAAGAATATTGAGAATCTTAAATCTTAAAAATAAAGAAATAAATGCATACATAAAAAATAGCGTTTTTTATATTAAAGAAACATGATTTCTGTGGGGATTTCTTCTTGTATGTACAGTATCTCTTACTTTTGGCATTGTTTACAGTGCTCATATCTATCAAGCTTAAAACTGACAAAACACACACACACATACATCGTTAACTTAATATATTAACTTGTCACACCTCGAACAATGAAACATGCCTTTTTGACATCTGTTCTTCACACAGTCACATGGGTTTAGAATAATATAATATATTGCAGTTGCATATTAATAAAAGGGCACTACACTTATAGTGCCTTTTTTGGGTAATTTTTAATTGTATTTTATACACACATTCTGGGGTTGAAGCATTATATATTATGCAGCTCTAATTTGTCCAGTCATTTGGGTAAATAATAGGGATGGGCATTCCAAGCAAAAATAATATTCGAAAATCGCTGGGTGTTATTCGATTATTATTCGAAAATCGCACCCATCCCCCACATGCATGCACAAACACCCATAAACAGAGAGAGAGAAGGGAGAGAGTCAGGATTCATGCTTTCAATCTGTATGATAAACTGTTTAATTCAGAAGATAGGCTACCTTAACTCAAGCCATATAATGATTGTAACGTGCTGAAACATTAATATAATAAACATAAGCGAATGACGGCACTTATTAACATAAGAGTCCGTCGATTAACATAAATCAACTG